AAAAGGAAACAGAATAAGGGTCGGCATCTGGGTCAGAATGCATGGTCATGACAGAGGGTCCCTCTGCCAGGTGCTACATCTGGGCCCCCTCCACCCCAGATGCATCCAGAAGAAGGTTTCAACCTCATCTCCCCCACCTCCCCCATCTCCCCTGCCTCCAGCCATGGTGTCAGAAGAGCAGTATGATGAGCTGCTGGCCCGCTTCCAAGAGCTCCAAGTAGGGCTCCTAGTGGATCGGATGATCTGCAGATATCCGCAACCGCATCCGGAAATTCACGGATCTCTACTGTGGCTTTTGAGAGGATAATATCCACGGTTTCTAGTCTGCAGATAGGCGGATTATCCATGGATTAAATATATCCCACTTTTCTAGATACCCCTCTTATGTTTCCATATTTTCTCCCAATTTTTTCAAGTCCTATCTAACCACCCAGGCCTGTTATTTCCAAATTTGGCATCTGACACCCATCTTTTGTGCCATTTTCCCCATATCTCTGTCAGTTCTCCACCAATATGGACATATTTGGTATTGTTAGAAAGCTCTCATCAGGGCCATTCTAACAAAATATAATTTTGGAAATATTATCTATAATCCGCGGTTGATCCGCATATCCGCAGATTTCTAACTGCCGGATATGGTTTTTGTTTCAAACCTCTAAAAATCCACAGATTCTGATCCGGATCCGGACCGATCCGATCTGCTAGGAGCCCTAGCTCCAAGCCATTGTGGAGAGCCAGGCCCGCAACCATCCCCCACCTGCACCAGCACCAGCACCCACCCCCATGCACCTGCACCCGCTGTCAGGGTGTGGGAAACTTTACCATGGTTCGCCATTGGCAACCGTTAGGGTTGGCTGCCTCGGTGTAACAGCCCATTAAGGGCAGGGATGACAATCATGGCGAAGCAGGGTTTTGGCTTCAACGACTCATCCGTGAGCGTTGCACCTTGTACTTGATGTGGCCCCGATATTTCAGAGTGCAGAGGGTGCGACTGAGTCAGACAGGAAGCACAGGGGGTAACCCTAGTTGATTTTTGAACTAAAGTACGAGGTAGTGTACAACTGGTATTTAAGTATAACGGAATGAATAGGAATAAGTTGCCAGATCTCACGGAGATTGTGGGTGGCTTTAAGAAGGATAAAAACAAACAAAGAACATGGGAACAGGATGGCCATCAAGAAACAAGAGTAATAGGGAATGACTTGTAGGCCCATCCTGATCAAAGGACTTAGCTTTGCTGTCACATCCCAAGATGCCCCCTAAAGCTCATGTGATAGACCTCTCTGCCTGGAGCATTGAAGACCTCCAGTATGACTCTGGCGATGAACAGGAGCTCATGCTCCAGAAATGCCAGGAACAACACAGACGGTGCCAGGTTGAGGCTGATCATGTGGAGGAATTGCGATGTGCAGAAGAGGCTCACTGCAAGGCAGAGCAACTAGTGGCAGCTCGTCTCGCTGCTGAAGAAGAGGAGAAAAAGAAGAGGAAAATGACTGAGTCGGTGACGGGGAAGGTGAGTAGTCTTGGTCGACTGATCGGGAATGCAGGGTGCTACTGATCTGTCAGGGCACACCCCACCTGACCCAGCGCTGCTGAAGGGTTGCTTACTATTTTGGGGACGGTAACATTCCGTTCCCCCGTTCGCCTCAGGCCTCAGTTAGTCCATCTAAATATAAGCTTAAATGTGCTGTATATTCAATGGGGTAGAGGTAAAAGGCTACTGGGCCTTTACAACTACTCCAAGGTATATATATGTAATTTACATATCTCAGCACAAATAAATAAAGAAAGAACAGCATCACTATAATGGGAATTATAGCGATGCAACATAATATAAATATCACTATAATCGGAATTATAGTGAAGTAAGGTTAATCCCTTACAGCTGCCCTACTCCGCTCCCCCGCTACCACTCCCTGTTCCTCCTCTCCCTTTTTCTTCTTTGTCTCTATTTCTATTCCATGGTCGACTTCCCTTTTCTCTATGTATCATCACACACCTAATACCGCTCCCCTGATCGCTGCACCCACCACGTGCATCCCCGCCTACAGAGCGGCACACCTTCTAATAGCACCTGGGGTGGGAACAGAAGAAGCAGCCTTCTTCTCAACTTCCCACTTCAGACAAGCGGTTGGGGATGCTCCCCCATGACGGGATCGCCACTATGCACAGCTGACATCTGTCCCATCGGGTCCCTCATGCCGGGACTTCGCCGCTTTCGGAGCTGTCCCTGACATGATCATCCTGATCATCTCGATTGCAGCATCCCACGGCCAGTAACTGACCATCTACAGCAGGAGACGAACCCCCACCTTGTGATCGTTGCATCCAGTGTAAGGTTGCCTGCATCTTGGGTATGGGCAATCACGGTGTTTGCACCAAGTGCCAGAGGCTGAAGCAGAAATGTCGATGCAGGGACTGGACGTCACCCATGGTGAAGTGCCCATGAGTGAAGGGGCCTAAGGGGGGCATGGAGGTGCTGGAAGTGGAAGACGACAAATCAGATGAGGAGGGAGAGTGTTCCACTGAGGATCACCTTGCGCGGATCCACAAGGCGATCCTGGCTGTTGTAAGTGGGCTAGGGATCTAACCCAGCAGGCAAACAGGAAAGGATGGGGACCGGATTGGTATCCAACAGGTCAGGGAAAAGGGGTAATATGGTAATGGTAATAATGATATGGTCCGGTGTGTTATGGTGTGTGGTGTACTCCAATCAATCTCTCACCTCACCTCTCTGGGTGACACTAAGGCGAGGACTGATATAGAGGTCTTCTTAGTTGTCTTCTATGTCATACTACTCCCTACTAGCTTGGGAGGGGCAAACTCGGTGGTTTCTAATCCAAAGGAAAAGGTAGATACATCCTCATGTACAGGTATATATGAGAAATGATCAAAAAAATAAAAATGAAGGAAAATATTAATCAAGAAAACAATAAAGCAATAAATGATTTCCAGCCAAAAAATATCCAACTCTATCCATCACCAATCAACTCCCGCTAATCATGGATCCTAATACTCCTAAATGGCGCGTTTCCAATGGTACCAATATCGTCCAAATCGGTGCAGTGGTTGCTGAGATAAGTGAAATCCAGTCTGAGTGTGGCCACGCTGCTGGGTGGGTGTGGGAATTTGGTGTGTGGGGACTGGGAATGTGTCTGGAGAAATGGGAAAAAATCATGGAAGGGTAGGAATAGTATATGAGGACGTGTATGATGTGTTTTGTGAAGTGGGGATGTGCTGGGATGGGGAAATCGCGATATTCGGTTTGTTTGTGCAGTACCGGCTGTGCCCACCTACACCGTGAACAAGACTCTGACAGGCCTGACCACTATAGCAGGCTGCCTGCTTGAATACGTCACCAATACTGAGGAACGACACCTAATGGACATGCGGTTGAGGAGGGAACATGCAGAGGCTGAGGAGTGGGGTGTGAGATTGGGTGGAGAGAGAGTTGGGCAGGCTGAGACTAGTACCTCTGACTCCTATTCCACTCTGTTGTTAGACTCTGCCTTTACTGATTGATAATCCCATCCTCTGCCATCAAACGTGTTGTGGTCCCGGCTTCGCCGGATATCATGCATGGAAATTGGCGATGAGATCCGAGGCATGTTCCAGTTCCATAGCGGGGAGCCACTTGGTCTCCTCATCAGTGCCTTCATACCCAAGCCAACGTACCAGGTACAGTAGCTTGCAGCTGCACCATCGGTCAGTCTTGGAATCTAGGATCTCAGTGATCTCATACTCGAGTTCGCCATCAATCTCAACTGGCAGCGGCGGAGGCTGTTCCCAGTTAGGGATGGTATTAGGTGTCGTGGGCTTGAGTTGGGAGACATGAAAGACTGGGTGCACAGCCATCATGGTGTTGGGGAGGTGGAGGGTGCGTGAATGAGAGCCTGGCTGTGCAATGATCTCAAATGGCCCAAGGTTCTTCTCGGTGAGTTTTGCCGATGGCCTAGTAGTGCGGAAATACTTGGCCTTGACGAATGCTGAGCTGCCGATGTCGAATGGTGATGTGGGGAGCTGTTGAGCATCTGCAGGGCCTTGGTAGCGCTGCTGGGTGTGGGTCATCTCTTCATGGAGGAACTGGTGGAGGGAGTCGAGATCGACTGAGTACTTGTAAGATGTTAAGATGGTTGTGAGTATTGCCTCACACTCCCAGTCCATCAGAGATACGCTATAATAGGCTGTATAATCGACAGGGGAGTAAAGGCTGTAAAGCCTTAACTTGCCTGCATGCAAGGTTTATATACATGGGGGAAGAGCACATGCAGCCTATGTGGCTTGCAGGGTCTCCAAGTATGTACAATAATGTAGCGCTGTTGCGTGAAGTTACAAACTGATTATAATACTATGTTACAAGTGATAACAAGAGTTAAGGGAAAGTAAAAGAGTTAGGAGGGGGCGCATATGCAGCCTCCCTTCCTTACACTCTCCTCCCTTGCGATATTAATATCGCAACAGGAAGGTGTGTACCAAAATGTAGAGATGGTCCAAGAGATTTCAAGAAATTCAAGAGAAACATAGAAAAATTCGAGGCGATTAGGCCTCGAGGCAACCAGTAGCAGCATTACTGTAAGTTAAAGGTGAAAGGCGGTTAGGCCTTTCAACGTTGGTCATCACCAATGAAGTTAGAAAAAAGGGGGTTCAAGGGAAAGTAAAGCAAAGCGGCCAGGCTTTACGGTGAAAGTGGTCAGGCTTTCGGGTCGAGCAGTTAGGCTCTTGGGTAAGAATTAACACAAAGTGATCAGGCTTTTGCGACGAAAGCGGTCAGGCTTTCATTGTGAAGTAAGGTGGTAGGGAAGAAGAAACTTCTAATAATGCCACATGTAGTTAAACCCTTTGTACCGATTATTTCATTGGCAAAGGAGAATATAAGTGGAGGCGGTCAGGCCTCTTGACAGTGAAAAAAGAAAAGGAAAATTTAATGGGGTGGTTAGGCCTTCATAATTTTGATCATTAACGATGATGAAGTCGATGCTAATGTTATAGGACAAAGGCGGTTAGGCCTTTTTTTGTTTGCCCTTTCGGGCCATGCTGCTAGGTCCGGGCATATTAGCCTGTGGATTCATCAAAGGCCCGGCTCCATCATCCTCAGCTGCTGCCATATGCTGGTGCTGAGCTGCAGGGAAGTGCCTTGTTGTCAAGGTTGCAGGTGGAATGGCTTCAGTCTGTTCCACGAAACTCAACTCTCCACTCATTGATGTATCCTCAGAGTCAAGGGGAGGAACAGCACTCACCTCTGGAGGAGGTGGCGGAAATCCTTGGACAGGGTGGGATGTAGGTGGTGGTGGTGCAAATTCGCCCACTTGTAGCCTGGATAGGTCATATTCACCGCTTTTCTCACCTTAGCCTCTTCAGATGGGTGGTGTTTCCAAAATGAGGTCAGGATGTATTTCATTCCTGCCGCTTTGATAATGCCAGGCATTTGAACCGTTCATCCAGTTCAGATATGGATGGTTTACATCCGGGCATGAACTTCATCTCATAGAATTGAGCATGTCAAGCACGCACTTCTGGTGGGGCATTATCAATGCTGCTCACAGCGTGTTTGTCGATCCAGTTAAGGTCGATAAGAAATTTGAACCCATCGGGGTGTTCAGGAATGTGGGTCCATCGCCATTGGTGAATATCATTTTGGCCTCACATAACCCATAGTTGACTGCAGATAACGACTCCGTCCTGGAAATTGTTAATGGAGAATGACCCTGGAATAGGGACGTTTCACCACATCCCAGTGGAAGGCTGATGACTCTGGTCTGGCAATTGGAACCATGAGTACTCCGAGGGGATAAGGTCACGATTATCGTCGTGTTGGGTGGGCCCTTGAGGTCCCAGGAGAATAGGAGCAGCAAGAGGGCCATAATGGCCATCTATTAGTTTCGAAAAAGGCACCTGCATCCCCTTAGGGGGCACCAGTTGAGCCACATGGTTGTGTACCGATACGTTAGATGATGTCAGAGGGGCTCCTTGGGCCCTCTTTGGGGGTCCCAGTACTGTGGCATCCCATGCGACTGGCGCCTTAAAGGGGACTTTTCGAAGCCAGGCATTGTAGGTGGGATAATCACCCACGCACAGACTCGGCTCGGATACCCAATTCTACGATTAGGAAATGACTTTCATTCACGCGACGACTCGGTACAAATTTGGTATTTAAAAATAGTGCTAATTCGTACGATTCTGACGGTACCAAGAACATCCCAAACGGTGGAGAATTGACGGAGTTCTGTGTTGGAGAAGTTAGGAACAGCAGGTCACGAGTATGTGCGGGCGTGGGAATCTCAAGCGGCAACCCAGAATTCCAGCCTCATTCGTTCCCACGGCGTCTAATAAATTGGTAAAAATGTTTATCGGCTGTGTGAAAGTTATCTCCGGCTACATCTCCAATTTAGGCTTTTAATTCCACAAATCCGTTGAGAAATCGCTTATTTTCTTTTATTTTCATATTTTGCTATCATTTCAGTTATTGATTGATATTCTTTTATTGATACTGTTACCCTTTTTATTATTTCGCCTAATAAGGTACCCAGGTGCCATATGGCACCAATATTTCCCATCTATTATTTCTAAAAATAATTATTTCTTATAATCCCGTACATACCGGATTTTTGAAAAGAAGTTCTCCCCTCCCTGTCAGAAACTGTGTTCAAAGTGATTGTGGGAAGCGGTGTAGGAGAAATAATGGCCACGCTATGGAAACCCATTATGGAAATATGTCAGATAAATCACAAAACCTCATACGACAAGTAGATATGAGAAAATAGAAGGACCTGAATTTTAACGAATTATTATGGCTACACACGATAAATCGAAAGAAAGAAAAATAGCAAAAATACTTCAAGCTTACCATCAAGGAGACGGAATTCTCGGGGGAATTTATAGCAAATATTAAACCAAGAATTAGGACAATCGACCTAGATTTGACTATAAAAACAATCAGAGAACCTCCACAGAAACTACTTTCCCACGTCCGCACACATAGCCAAGGATGGAAGTACCACGGAACAAGGATTCCTCAGGAACTAATGCAAAATTCAAAGTCGTGTTTATAATAGGAAATATAGATGTCCACTAAACGGACCCAATGAGAGTAATTACAGGGGAAACTACTCATAAACAACGGAGATATGACTAAAACTCCTGCAAAAACGGGGACAATGCCTAAAAGGGAAGCGCGAAGATTAACCAGTAACGACCGAGACAAGCTTGATAGCCCATTAGAAAGGAAGGGATCCAATCTTAATCCTCCCAAATTTTCATAATAAAAGGATCATGCATTAATGAGATATCCAATAACGGGAATAGTGACATCAAAAGTCCGAGCTTAGGGAAAAGACGATGTTTGCGTAGGATCCATAATTAAAACATACAACGAAATTTACACGGAAATTATTAAAAATGGGGAACTATAGTTATGCAAATTTTCAGCCCAAACAGTCCAGCCGTTGTGAAGTTATACCCATGACGGGAATATAGAAATCCGCATCATGTGTAATGACACGTGAGGGTGGCGATGCGCAGGGAACCGGCTGTCGGAACTGAGATCCGCACTTCGGCAGATCGCGAAGACCAATTTCCATCCAAATAAGGAAGAGCCCGGTCAAAACAAAGCACGGAAAGTGCAAAACAACCTTAGATCATGAGGGAAAAATCTGAAATAAATCACAGAAGCCCATATGAAAGAAATAAACACCCACGCATATCATAAATCCCGAACAATTAAATGGAAACGGCGCCCGCATACAAACGACTATGGGAATGACGCACGTGATTACCGAATGTGCGTGCGAACTTTTGCTAACTCAATGAATACCAGGAAATAGGACACAACCTTGGTACCATTGGAAAGGTGGGAATAAATGAAAATTTATGATACCAAGAACGTGAGAAAACATCCAGAAATGAATGAGATATAGGGACATGAAGTTAGAAACCTGAAAACGCGCGGGAAAACAGCTTCAAGAGGTCCAGAGTCCTAAATAAAATACATAAAAATATGATATCTTCAAGGACGACCTACTATAACAACCAACAATACATATGGAGGATTAGGATGTGATAATACAAAAGGGAATCAGGGAATATGAATGAAATTCACGAAAACCACTAAACTACGATGGACCATGGTGGGAATTTTAGGGAACGATATTCTAATGAGGTGGAGAGCTATAACACATTCGTTTGAGTAATTCTTGACTACTAGCAACTTTTTCTTTCAGTTTTAAACCTGAATAATTCACTCATTTACCATTTCAGTCTCATTTTAACTAAATGTCACTAAATAAAAATGGAATAAATCAGCTGAAGGTCTCAGCACAGCCGTACGCATAGTAATGCGAAGTTTGAATTCAGAATCATCGAGTCATAGCAAATTTAATGGTATATATAGGGAATTTGAGATAGGTAACTGCAGCAAATGCAGCGCAGCCAAGTTCCAATTAACCATTAAAATAGCTTAGGTGAGGGAGGACAATAAGAATTCTAGGCGCAGTCTGACTGCAGTAGAACCGCAGTTCAGCGCAGCAAAAGCGCAGTAGAACTATAGCATGAAAATTTCATTTTTATTCAGTTTGAGAAAAATACACTGTAAATAAATCCTGTAAATAGAAGGTAGAGCGTGAAAAAGGAAGGCGACCCAAGGAGTATAAAAGGGAGACCCTTTCTGTGACTTTTCCCCCCCCCTTAGAGAAGTAAGAAAATAGAGTATTATTTTTCTCAAGCATTTCTGGTTGTCACTCCAGTGCGAAAAAGTGATATACAGTTAAGATTGCCACTGTAGTAAAAGGCAGCAATTAAGGAGAGAAATATTAAGTAGATATTTCAACAGGAGAGCTGGTTAACACTCCAGATTTCAAAGTGTAAACACAAAACAGTTATCTTGCTACTGTTAAAACAAGCAATAAAGTAAGACAAAAATAAAATAAATCCAAGGGACACTCCAGACACAATCCAAATTCATTAACTGAATAGAATCTTTGACTTCACCAAGTAGAAGATTAAATCCAAATTAAACAACGCTACACAGAATTACACCTAGACAAATTAATAAATTCCAATAAAGAAACAGCTCTGCAGGGCTCGGTTTATCTGTAAGTCAATTCCCAGGAACTTTAAAACTAACCCATAAAAATAGAATTAGCCAAAACACTCGGATTGGTACTATATTTACAATAAATAACAATAGTACACTTCCCCATCTTAACTAAAGAACCAGGGAACAGCTTGGTGGTGGTCTCGTTTGAACCTCCCAACTGACCTTCCTTCGTTCTCTCCTTCACCGCTCACTGCCCATGTCGTCAGATTCTAATACCCAGCGCTGTCTCCGCCCCAGACCCAAACCAAAGTTAACAACCTCAACTGCACCTGACAGTACGGATGATTTTTTCCTCATACAGCGAAATGCTGCCTTGCTGCCACCCACCTCCAGTGCGGAGCCATCTGCTGTGCCTGTGGCCCCCCTGATGTCATATCCATCCCCGGCCATTGACTTCCGGTCCCTCCGATCCCTCCGTTCCAACTCCACTCCTCCCTCACTAACCTCGGAGCCCCCGTATTCCGCAATCCTCTCGGCGCCCCTCGATGGTCACCACCCCCTCATTTCAATTTATTACCTACACCTCCCTAAGTACGGAGCCCCGAAGACTTCCGGACAGCTCCGACGTCCGCTAGCGCACCCCCGCCTCCGCTGGGCAATACACTCGCCTGCCCTGCAGAGCCCACCTTCGGGCCTATCCCTCCTTTCCGTTTCTGGGTTATCGCCTGCCTTTCCGCTAACCCCGTGAACCGACTCGTCAGTAATATTCAGTCAGCTAATGTTTAAACCCCGTTAGCTCCGCTCCGTTCGGCTCCGTTCGGCTCCGCCAATTGCGGAACCGTCTCCGCTGTAACCATATATATATCCCACTTGTACATAGGTTACTCCCCAGTAGAAAAATCAACTAGAGTTACCCCCCTAGGTTCTAATTGCCAGTCAGTAAGTTAGGGCACGGACGTGTCACTAGGCACAGCGCTCTTGGCAGAAGTCGCTGAGGCCGAAGCCCTCCGTTACGGAGACATTCCTTCGTCTCGAATCTGGTCTCTGACACCTGAGACCTAAACGTGCTGCTGCACACAACTCGAAGAAGAAGATTGCACCCCGACGATCCAACATCCCTTCCCCTTCCACTCCCTCTTCTAAAATTGTGCTGAAAATCCCTCATCATCCACACACCCACGCTGAGCTGAACACGGCACCAGCTTCCCTTTCCTTGACCACTGCTGGTGAATCCAGTTTCTGTGAGCCACCATTGAATCCTGAAGCTGGTGAGCAGGTCAGTGGCAACCATGATGCTGCAGGTGACTCCACTTGCCTTGACCCACAACCCAAGAGCACCGAGGCCGAGCCGGATGCAGCACCAGCTCCCACTTCCCTTGACGAGCGTAATCTCCATAAATCACAGCCAAACCCTGAATCCAGTGAGCAGGTCAGCAGCGGGCCCAACACTACGGGTGGGCCCAGTTGCCATAGTCCGCTACTCAACAATTTCGAGGCCAGCAATCAGGCAACTCACCCTGTTGGCAGCACTGGCAGCCTCCCTAGCAGCACAATTGCCGATAATACTCCCCTTGTTGGCCAAACTGTTGATGGCGAGGCTGGCAGGTTTGGTGATGATTCCAGAGAACTGAATTTGATTGGGGACCCCTCTGGGGTGAATGTGAATTACCCGGAGCTTAAGGATGTTGCAGCAGCCAAGATGGATCTGATCAATTCCTTTGATGATCCTGAGGCAGATGTGTCTCCCCTAGTGGCTGGATGTTACTCAAAGGTGGAAATTAAGGAGCTAGACGCTATTTATCAATCCTTCCTGACTTCCATCAATGACTGGGCTGAGAGTCAACATCACACCATCACCTCCGCACTCAATCATATCAGCCTTGCTTTTGCTACCCATGAACGCCGTGCTTCGGGGAACCCATGGAACGCATACCTCGAACTCAACCCCAATCCGGATTCCAGCATGCGTTATGACCAGTACATTCAGAACATTGCTCGGCCCAACTATAACAAGCTTACTCAGGATCATGGTGGAAAGGGCAGCCAGGGCTGGCAGGCTAAGGCGCAAGAATTGAGATGATGCCAAGGACCAGGGGGGGATGATAAAGCGGATTGTCAAGAGCTGGAAGCAGGATTCTGTTGCAGCACGTTTCGCTGGCATTCACATGGCCATGATGATTCTTCCATCCCATAAGGCTGCTTCCGACATGGGCACCTTCGAGTCCAATTCACCACATCTGCACCAATTTATCACTAGTAAGCTCGGCAAGGAGACTACATTTATCCCTGAGCTACACAGTATAATTTCAGGTGTTGATGCACCGGCTACAGAAGCCATGGGATGGGACAAATTAAGGTCCAAATGTCGGGAATATTTGTGCCAGATTGTGGAGCATGTCATATCCATCCATGGCCATCGACTTCCACCGCTTCCGATCCCTCTGGACTATCTCCACTCCTTCTTCACTAACCTCAGAGCCCCCATATTCCGCAATCACCTCCGCATCCCTTGATGGTCACCACCCCCTCTTTTCAATATATTACCTATGCCTCCCTAAGTACAGAGTGTCAGAGACCAGGTTCGAGACAAAGGAAAGTCTCCATGGCGGAGGGCTTCAGCCTCAGCGACTTATGCCAAGAGCGCTGTGCCTAGTGACACGTCCGTGCCCTAACTTACTAACTGGCAATTAGAACTGAAGGGGGATAACTCTAGTCGATTTTATTACTGAAGTGTAACCTATGTACAAGTTGGATATATATATGGTTACAGTGCAGATGGGTCCGCAAATGGCGGAGCCAAACGGAGCGGAGCTAACAGGGTTAAACATTAGCCAACTGAATATTACCGATGAGTCGGGTCGTGGGGTTAGCAGAAAGGCAGGTGATAACCCAGAAATGGAAAGGAGGGATAGGCCCGAAGGTGGACTCTGCAGGGCAGGCGAGTGTATTGCCCAGCGGAGGCAGGAGTGCGCTAGCAGACGTCAGAGCTGTCCGGAAGTCTTTGGGGCTCCGTACTTAGGGAGGCATAGGTAATAAATTGAAAGGAGGGGGTGGTGACCATTGAGGGGTACCGAGAGGATTGCGGAATATGGGAGCTCTGAGGTTAGTGAGGAAGGAGCGGAGGTAGACCAGAGGGATCGGAGGGACCGGAAGTCGATGGCCGGGGATGGATATGACAGTATCCCCTTCTTAGGCCTGAACCCTTGAAGGCCCAGAATTAGTAAGGTGAGGGGAGCTGTACTTACAGAAAAGAAATAATGGGAAAATGAAAACGGAAGTGAGGAGTGGAGGGAAAAGGAGAAATGGGAGAGGAGTCAGGGTCCCTAAGGAGCTTTGGGTCCAGGCTTTGCTGGGTACCGAGAGTGGAACGCTTCGACAAGGTCGGAGGCATGATCAAGTTCGCCGGCAAGGAGCCATTGTGTCTCCTCGTCGGTCCCTTCATAGCCTAGCCACTTGACCAGGTAGAGCAACTTGTTGCATCTACGTCGGTTGATCTTGGAGTCGAGTATCTCCTCGATCTCGAACTCCATCTCGCCTTCGATTTCTACGGGAGGCAGAGGTGGCTGGTGGCGGTTCGGAATGATGTTCGGGACGGAGGGTTCGATCTGTGAGACATGGAATACCGGGTGAATGGCTCGCATGTTTTCTGGCAGGCGGAGAGTGAGGGAGTGAGTTCCAACACGGGCGATGATCTCGAATGGGCCGAGGTTTTTCTCAGAGAGCTTTTTGGAAGGTCGGGTGGAGTGGAAGTACTTGGCCTTTATGTAGACCGAGGTTCCTACTTCGAAAGCTGGGGCAGGACTCCGACGGGAGTCTGCCAGGCCCTGATAATGGATCTGAGCGAGATGCATTTCCTCGCAAAGGAAGTGATGGAGGGAGTCGAGATCAACGGAGTACTCTTGGGTGCATACTGATGTCAGGTCTCGCTCCGGGTGAATGGTGATGTTCGGATGGTAGCCTTTGTTGGCGAAGAATGGGGAGACGCCTGTGGTGGCATTCGGAGCATTGTTGTATGCGAACTCTGCGAGAGGCAGGAGTTCGGACCAATTGTCCTGCTGGTAGTTACTGTAGATGTGCAGGTACTGCTCGAGCATCTGGTTCATCCGTTCGGTCTGACCATCTCCTTCTGGATGATAACCGGAGGTGAAGTGGAGACAGATGTCGAGGGCCTTACCAAGTGAACGGAAAATGAGAGACAAACTCTGGACCCCTGTCGGAGGTGACGTGGGATGGAACTCCGTGCTTGGAGAACACATGGAGGAGGAAGAGCTTAGCCAGTTCCGGAGAGGTGATGGTATCGTGGGTAGGGATGAAAATGCACTGTTTGGACAGGCGGTCCACAACGACCAAGATGGAAGTGAATCCGGAAGAGGAGGGTAGCTGTTTGATGAAATCCATGGAGATGGAGTTCCAAGGACGTTCGGGGATGAGTAGTTGTTTGAGTAAGCCGTAAGGCTTATGATGGGGGACTTTGGCATGGGCACAAGAAGTGCAGGAGGATACGTAACTCTTAACGAAGTTACGGATGCCCAGCCAGGTATACTCATGATGTACTAGATCCAGAGTCCGGTTTTGCCCAAAGTGTCCGGAAAGTTGGTGGTTGTGTTTGTCTCGCAAAACACAGAGACAGAGATCGTTAGAATCCGGCACGTAAATGCGATTGTCCAGCCTTAAGAGGCCTTCGGCATCAATGGACCAGCGGGAATTGGGGGGGTTGGGGGAAGCGAGATGAGAAGAGATTGTGGTGTCGGAGGAGAGGGAGGTTAGGATGTCTCGATGGAGAGCCTCTGTGTCGACGAGTATGGCTGCTCAGATTACTGTGGCGGCTAGGAACGAAGCTCATAAGGACACAGTGAGCTGCTCCGAAGTGAAGACCGGTCAGAAGTTCTGCGGATTGATGCGAGCGTAGTCCATATCCCCTTCTTTGGGATAGACGTCCCAGCGTCTAGTCAATGCATCTGGTTTAACTCCGAGTCTTCCAGGACGGAATCGGACAGTCATGTGGAATTGGGAGAGGAACTCCGACCAGTGGGCTTGCCGCTGGGTCAAGAGTTTGGTGGTGGAGAAATACTCGAGGTTCTTGTGGTCGGTGACAATGTCGATTGGGGTTCCTGAACCTTCGAGGTAATGATGCCATGATCGGAACGCATCATGAATGGCAAGCAGTTCCTTGTCATGGGTGTCGTAATTGAGCTCCAGCGCCAAGAGTGTTCTAGAGCAGAAAGCAACAGGGCGAATCTCTCCGTCATTACAGCGAATGGAAAGGATTCCGGAGATCACGTAATCGGAGGTGTCGGTTTCTACAATGAGGGGGGCATCGGGTAGCCAATGTGTGAGGATAGGAGCGGAAGTGAAGGCTTCTTTCAAGGTGTTGAAAGCAGAGCGACAATCGTCAGAGAATAGCCAGGGGGCTCCTTTACGCGTGAGGCATGTCAAGGGGACCACAATGTCGGAGTATTGGTGGATGAAACACCGATAGAAGTTAGCGAAGCCAAGGAAGGATTGAACATCCTTGACTTTATGGGGCTCGGGCCAATCTTGGATGGCTTTGACCTTCTCGATGGACATGGTGAGTCCAGAAGGAGAGAGGCAGTAACCGAGATATTCCGTAGTGTCCGTATGAAACTTGCATTTCTTCGGATTGGCGTATAGGCCATGTTTGCGGAGTCTCCTAAGAACTTCTCGGACATGCTCCTGATGTGAAGCCATGTCTTCCGAGTAGGTAAGGATGTCGTCTAGATAGACTACCACAGAAACGTCCAAGAGGTCGGCAAAGATCGTGTTGACGAATTGCTGGAAAGCCGCAGGTGCATTTGTGAGACCGAATGGCATGACAAGCCACTCATAGGAACCATAGCACGTGCAGAAGGAGGTCATCCATTCGTCGCCTGCTGCAATGCGAACCAGGTGGTAAGCATGCCGGAGGTCGAGTCTGGTGTAGACCATGGCATGGCTAGGTGCGTCAAGGAGGTCGGAGATGCAGGGAAGTGGGTAGCGATCCTTTTTGGTGATCTTGTTCAGCCCTCGGAAGTCGACGCAAAGACGGAGGGATCTGTCCTTCTTGCAGATGAAGAGGACCGGTGCCGCGTGAGCGGAAGTAGCGGGGCGAATGAACCTGGAGGCCAGGTGTTCATCTAAGAACGCCCGGAGGGCCTCGAGTTCCGAAGTAGAGAGAGAGTACATGGTACCCAAGGGTGGGGAAGTGCCTTCCTCAAGGTCGATCTTTAGGTCATGCTCATGGTGCGGTGCCAGCGTCGAGGCTTTGCTCTTACTGAACACATCCGCAAACTTGTGATACTCCTTCAGAACGGCCGAGAGGTCGACGGCATCAGTGTGGGATGAGGCAGCCCTCAAGCGGCTTTCCTCGGAAGGGATGGTTAGGCTGAAGGATACCAATCCTTCAAGTCGGCAAGCCTTCATGAATGCGGAACGGCTGACGAACTCGATAGATGGTAATGGAGGAGTGGCAGCCTGTGACTGAGGTGCTGGCGAAACATCAGATGGTTGGATGTCGGACAATGGCAGCGGTGCCAGAGACGATGGGGGAGAGCTCGGAGTAACTGTCTTGGTAGGTTCGGAAGTTCGGAACGTAATACTGCTTGAGACCCAGTCAATCAACGGATTGTAGCAGGTAAGCCAGTTGTGTCCTAGGACTAGGGAACATGATCCATCCAGCGATGTGACAAAGAAAGTTGTGGGGGTGATGTTTCCGGAAGCGAAGCAGAGGGGAATATCAACGGCACGGGTTATGATTGAGTTGGTGCTCCCGTCGAATAGGTGTAGTTGTAGGGGTTTAATCTGGTATGTCTTCAAGGCCAACTTTTTTTACGAATGTGTCGTCAATGAAGCAGTCCGAAGACCCAGAATCTATGAGTGCGGGTACATTCTCATATGAGCGGAAAAGTTTATTTTGTGTCCTAACATTGGACGGAGGAGGAACAGGAGGAGAGAAAGAAGAGAAGCGGAGAGAGGTGGATCGATCTACGGAAGTAGTTGGAGGGGGCGGAGGAGAGAGTGGTACATCAGCAACACTATCTACAATGGGTAGAACATTAACCGAAGGGTCAACATTGAGAGGAA